TTCACACTGTAACAAGAGATACATGCAAATACGTACACACACATGAGACAGGCAGGATAACTGGAGATAATCAATAGAGGGAAGACATGAGCATTATAGGGGACTGGGAAAGGCTTTGGGATTTTAACAAGCCAGCAAAGGTGGCAATGAAGAGGACATTCCAAGCATGGGAACAGCCCCGGAAAACAGAGCTGGGACACAGAATCATATTCAACGAACAGCGAGGAGACCAGTGTCACCAAGCTGAAGAGTACGTGTGTGTGTGGGGGGGGGGGGGGGGTATAAAAGATGGGGGGAAAGGTAGGAAGGGGCCAGGTTATGCAGGGCTTTAAAAGCCAGAAAATCGTCTCTTTGGGAAGTCACTGGAGTTTGCTGGATGAGGTGGGGGTGGGGGATGACACAGTCAGCCTTAGGCTATAGGAAGATCAGTTTGACAGGAACTTAAGAACAGACTGGAGTGAGAAGATGCTTGAAGCAGGGACACCAATGTCTTGTAATTGTCCCGGGGTGAGGCGCTGAAGGCCTGCACCAGGGTGATGAGTGTCAGAGGAGAGGGCAGGGAATGCACGGAAGACGTTCCAAAGCCAGAAGGGAGTGTTGCAAGTCGATCTGACAGTCTCCAAACCCCAGAGGCCAACTGGGCAATGGACAGGTGGAGGGCAGGAATTGGAAGACACATAAGTTCAGAAGATGGTTGCTATCATTCTTCTGCTTCCCCTACAAACAGGCCGACAAGCACCTTCTTTTAATGTATACTGACCACAAGCTCTGGAGCACTTTGAGGGGGCTTGCCAATCTTGTATATGTCAGAGAGACTCTGATGGTACCACAGGACAGCTAGATCGTACTTCTCCACCTGGTGGACAAGTTACGTCACTGACTCTTACAATTACATTTAACTTTACTACCCACTATATCCCAGGACACTACAATCATTCTGCAGATATGTTATGAGAAGCCAAATTCTGATTAACCACAAATAAGCTGGTGCCTTGTCTACTGCAGATATAAATAGCCTAGAGGACTATAGGTTCTGAGAAGCTGGTCGGGGATGTAGCCCATTGGCAATCTTCACAACATGTTCTCTGACTTGAGAATAAACCTCCTATATCTGGACAAAACAATTAACAAAACAAGTTATGGGTGACCAAATGCAGTCTCTTACATAGTTCTATGTGCCTACAGCCATGCATGGATGACACAGGCCAAGGACAGCCATCAAGGTTTCCCCTGGAGTTTATATACACATGGTACCCTCTTCTCGGGCACAAGGATGCTTGTAAGCACCAACTGGCTTATCCGTGTGATCTATTATGCTGGGCATGGGAGGTCTTGAGGCTGCTGGAGTCATGTTAGGTTAACTGCACTCAGGCTGGATTGAAATGATGTTCTCTATTTAGACTATCTGCAGATTACGACTTGAAATAGGCTTCTCCTATGTAGGATTCTTGTACAGGCTTTCCTTGTTTTTGGCCAAGTCACTTAACCCCAATTGTCAAATATATATATATATATAATTCCACTAAGCTTGTGACAGTCGTAGGAGTAGTACACATGTAGGCGGGACACAGTGAAACAAGGCATAGACTGGAAGGCTCTTCCTACCATGCTGCTTCTATAATGTGCCTCATCTCCCCCTACTTTAACCAGAGCACTTTTCAAAAACTAAAAACAGTATTTGCAGAGGTGGGCAAATTAGATCTAGATTAACTGGATGTTTTGATCACGGTCCTGGGAAAAGACCAAGAGCACAAAATCCAGCAGGTTTTGGAAGATGGCAGTCTTGAGTCTCTGGAATACCTATGACAGTATATAGGATGATGATAATACAGGCTTGCTGGCCTCCCAGTCACAGATCAGACTATGCTTCCAACACACCTACTCAGACTCAAGATAAGTGGTGCAGGATTACTGGGAAAGGCTAACAAGCCTGATCTTGCCACTGATCATGAAAAACACTAGAGCAGACACGGGAATTAGATGGCTGAATAAGCCGGCCCTGGCACCAGGCTGCTTACAGTTCCCAGTTCTCCAGGATACAGCTATACTGTCACCAACATTTACTGAACTCCTTGCCAGAGAGTTCTGGATACCTAGTGGGAAGAGAAGGGGCTGCAGGCTGAGGCCATGTTGGGCACGCCAAGGGTCAAAAGCCCTCTTCAAACTGCTCCACGGAATTGTAGATGAACAGCTACAAAGATCCACAAGAACCACTGGCGGACAAGCCCCCTGAAAAGGTTGTTTGGAGTGACTAAGTCCAATAAAAGGGTCGTGTTTTCTCTCTCCATGGTCAAACATACTGCAAAATCCTGGGAGTGACTGGGAGTCACTACTTGTCATATGGAACCCAGAAATTCTTTTAATACATACATGTACATGAGGACACAAAAGTTGACTATTTTACCCACTAACTCAGGTGCAGCAGGAGCACAAGGCAGGCTTCACTGTGCTCTTTGGACAGTGGCTGGGCAGAGCCAATCAGTGCCGTGAGGAAGCGTCACAGCTGGTCACTGAGAACAACGGCCTAAGAAAGGGGTGATCTGTATGCAATGTAATTATAACCACCACACCACCCCAGCATCAGCAGCAATTGTAAAGAACTGCAAGACACAAGCCGATTTCCTGTTGGCCACCAACTTGGGCCCAAAAGGAGGAGTAGCTACACTGGCCAAGTTACAAATCTTTTAAATAATAAAGGAGGAGGAATCCAGGGTAACAACACATTAGGAGAGTCAGATTCTCTTCCAATTAGTTGTGGAAATTTCTTACGCCACTTGAAATTTCAAAGATTAAGTCATGAAGAGAAAGAATTGAGTGAAAACTTCGGAGTGTGATGGTGGAAGTGATGATGATGACAAGGGAAAGAGATTTTGATGGTGAGATAGGATTCTCAGATGATGAATTTTGGAGTCCTCACATTTTCTCTGCCCCTGGATTTTAAGTGGCTTCTAGTCTTCTTTAGAAATGGAGGTATAAAAACAAAAAGTATCAGCAATGATGAAAACTTTGATAAATACAGTGTTCCCTCCCTCCTCCGTATGACTAGTCTACCTTTTCATTCAACCGAAGATCCCCACTCCCTGCCAAAAATGCCCTGAGCATCATTTCTCATGTGCAAAACCTCACCAGCAATGAGCAGGTTGTCTGCAGGGGCTGCCAGGCCTAATCTCGTTGCCATTTCTATAGTTTTTAGAGAAGAAAACGTTCGAATACAGACTCATCGACCAAGTCAACAATCAGTTCCAATTCCAGACCATTTCTGTGGGAGGTTTTTGAGATGTCTATGAATCTATTTGGAAATAAAATATGTAAATGTTACAAAATGCTTGCACAAAACATGTTATCAAACTACCTACAGCTATCAGGAGAAACAGGTCTTAGCTTTATTTTATTTTAAGTTGTTAATTTTTCCAATTACTAGTTCCTGGTGAAAATATTTTCATTACTTTTAATCATGCTTTTGGAAGAGCTTTCCCACCCCCTCCCAACTTTAACTCAATATCAAATACATATAAAATGAGCTGAAGCTAAGAAAAAAAGTTAAATTTTCAAAAACCAGATATTAAGGACTTTTTGATGATGGTCTATAAACTGAAACTGGTTTTATCTTGTTCAATAATAATGTCGGCCTTTTTCGTTTTCCTTTGGACACCGGCTTAGAAATGTTTCGAAGCTCTTAGCTGCAAGTGTTTGTCCCTTTGTGTTATTTCTGACACTCCATGCTTGATACATTTAGGCAAATGTAAAAATTGCTGAGCTTTTGAGAAAACGGACACGGCTAATGCGGAAATTGGTTTTGCATGACTACACAAATTTGTAATAGCTTTCTGCTTTCTTGCTTTTGCAATGGGTGAGGGAGGGAAAGGGGGGAGAGAGAGAATATGAAACTGAAAATTGACTTCAAGAAATTGCCATGCTCATCTATTCCTCATCTATATTCCTGCTGGTTATCTGAGGTTCAAGCAAGGGTATAACATTACCAAGAAGTCACGTTTGAGTAGAACTTGGCCAATCTGTTCCTTACAAGTCACATTTGTATTACATCATCAGAGTGGAGTAAGAACATATACCTTGAAAGTCATTACTTCACGCCAATCTTGAAGGCTGCTGGGCCACTGCTCAAATAAACAAATGGGTCTATTGTTTTTCCAAAGAAAACCTGATGTTTATTAGATTGGCATTAAGGGCCAGAACTCAACTATGTGCCCAGTGTAGAGGACGTGAAAGGAAGATGCTGTGGTAACAGACTAGTCTGCTTCATTTCTGGGCTATTTCATATCTTCTCGGGGCCATCTCCAGTTGTCCTGATCTATATCTGTCCACTGGACCCTGATGGCCAGAAAGTTAGGCTGGTGACTTTGCCCAACCCTCTCTCACTTGAATCCAATTCACTTGCAAGATGTGGCAGCACCTTCCTGATGCCATGGTACTCTTTGAGAACAAAGGACAAACAACAACATTTCATATCATCACAGAGTAACTATACTCTAAGTAGCTACTTAGTTTCCTCAGTTCTTATTTCACATTGCTCCAATGCACTGATTTTGAATTGGGCTCAGGTAGCTCTCAAAACCACAGAGTGCTGAAAATCCTGCTTAACCGGCACTAAACATCAACGCCGGGAGAAATCAGCCTCTAGCCCCCTTCACGGCTGGGTAACACATAAACAAAGGTTCACCCTATTCGTTACTTTTAGCCGACCTCACTTTTATCTCAGGTGCTTTCATAAAGCTATCACCATGTTTCCATTATTGCTTTAAAGTCCTCCATCCTCTCACCTTCAGCTAAAACTACCTTAGGTAACTCGTATGGCCTCCCAACTGCCGGATTTCCTCCAACCTCATCTCTGCCCCTTTCTAGCTTCATTATCCTCCCTTTTCCTCATCCCTTCTTCAAAAATTAAAAAATCACAATAAAACAACAATAATGTATCAGGAAAAGATGATAAATACTAAAACACCAACACTTTTTAATTCCTTTTTTTTTTTAATGTCAGCACATTCACCTCTAGGATAGTAAGGGTTCGAGCAAGGGAGCACAGATATCTTGGACACTCGAGCAACATGGCGGAAACAGCGCTGGGTTTGGAGTCTGAAGGCCTGGATTTAAGTTCTGGCTATGCTACTGCTATCAGAACAATAGTGGACAAGCCACTTAGCTTCTCTGGGACACTTTACATAGGTCTGTAAAATGAAGGGAGTGGACAAGATGAAGTCTCCCCCACCAAATCTATGACCCCATGATCCCTTGAGTTTCCGTCATACTAACATGACAATCAAGAAGCTTGAGCTACCACAGCAGGAAACAGACCCCATGAGCCCAACCTTTCAGGGAAGGAAGGGGCACAATGACCCCAACTGCAATTTCTCCTACCCACTAGTTGCCTACATGGTAGTTACCTGCTTGTTAGCAATCCAAGCCGAGGTTTAGTCGCCTTGTCTATTCTAAAGGGGACCAGTGGGAGTGACCCCTATCTAGCTTTCGAGGCTTCTCCACATTAGGCATGGTGGTCTTACTGAGATTAGGGAACCTCGGGCTATCAGTCCAGGTCCTAGACCTGCTCCCAATCCAGTCAATCAGAGAGAAGAAGGAGGTAACTGCTTCATGAACTTATCCTTAACCACACCCATGGAGCGCATGGGCAGGGGGATGTTCTGGTTGTCCCTCCTCCCAAAAGAAGTCCTGCTACTGCCTGGTGAGTTGGAATGATCCAAGATTGAGTCCTGCCCTTGTTTAAAGGCCCAGGGCATTGCTGCCTGGCTGGAGAGAAATCTCTCAAAGAGCAAAGGGGTCTTTTTCACCATAAATGCAATCACTGATCATGATACAAACTACTAAGTAAGAAATTCTATGGCCAATTTTTTCCTGATCATTTAGGCATCTGAGAGGCTAGAATGTAAGAAAGATATTTACCTAAGCTAGGAACTGGCTGAAGAAATGAGAGGAATTGTGAAGAGTGCAGCGGCAGGAGCATGTACGTCACTGGATGACACGGCTGCGGCCACAGCTTTGCCATCGTGGAGGCTCCTGCCTGATGCAAAGTTTGTGACAAGGCATGATGTCGATGGAAGTTGGGACATACCTAGATAGCAAAGAGATCCACCCAAGAAAAATGAAAGAGCCTCTTTGGGGATCCTGGGGTGGCTATATTAGAAACCTGGGAACACGTAGGTAAGGATAGTTAGCAGGATCTGCATACCAGGTGGCCTTTGGTCCATGAGCTGTACTTTCAGCAGCCAGCCCATGCATCTCTTGATCCCCAGCAGCCGTGCTAATAGAGAAGCATAGATATTTTGGAATGAGACTGGGTATAAAGAATGTGACTGCTAATATATTTGGGAAAGAGGGGTTGGTCAAGCATACATCCTTGTTCCCATCCCCCACCCTTTTTTGCTCTCCTTTTTCTGCCTTAGTGGGAAGTACCTGTCAATTAGGGCCATGCAACATGACATCTTGGAACTTCTGATCTTCAGGTCAGGCTTCTCAATACTGGGATTTGGGGAAAGTTATAATTCACTTTTGAATACTTTTTTTTAATACACAGATGTGTTTAAAGGATTTCTGGGTTCCTTACTCCCACCAAACTCCCCACATACAGATATTTGCACACTAGATTTTGAAACAAAATTCCACTTAAGTAGCCAATATGTATTTTAGTTTTGTTTCTTCAAAATCTATATATATTGCGATTGGAACCTATTAAAGCACACTATCACCACTATCTAGATCCCAGAGTTTGGAAGGTTAGTTCTACATAGAAATTTGTAGAACAGTCTTGATTTAAACTTGTGGGAGGCTCTGGAAGAGCCCAAGCAGTTTTGCTGATGACCCTTGCCAACCCCTCCTCCCCAACACACACACACACACACACACACACTCTCTCTCTCTCTCTCTCTCTCTCTTCTGGTGTCAACCAAGATCAGGCACTTCTCCTCGACTGAACTGCATGGATCACTCCCAGTTAAGTGTGATGAAATGGTAGGAATGAGAGGCCAATACGAAAGGTAAGAAGGCAAAGTCAATCCAGGTCAAGAGATGGCCTTTGATGTGCAGGCACTGAAGGATGATCTTGGGGTGGTGGTTGCCAATTTCACCAAGGTCGGCTCATACCAGATGGATGCCATCAACTTCTCCATTAATTGGTCCAACAGAATTAGTTCATTTAAAGAGATGTGTTGGCTAAGGACAAAAAAAAAATGAGCCAGCATCATTAATTGGTGATCTACTACCCTCCTAGAGGTCTGCCTTCTATGCCAGGTAGCTGATTAGCACAAGGGGCTTATTGAATGCTCTTTAAAAATGATACATAAGGAGCAACTAGGTGGCGCACTGGATAGAGCATCTGCCCTGGAGTCAGGAGAACCTGAGTTCAAATCCAGCCTCAGACACTTGACACTTACTTCCCTGTAATAAAGAAGAACCTATCTTTGCAACACTAGATGTGAACTTGTGGAAAAATGAGCTCATGAAAAGGTGATCTAAGCAAGAAACTCTGTCATTTTATTAGTCAGATCTTCAGTTTGGATTAAAGAATCCAGGTTCTCCAAACCCTCAGGCTGCACAGGAATATGAAAAGAATTCCATGACAATCAATGACCAAATGTTAGTTAGTAAATGAGCAATAAATGAGAGGCAGGTTTTCATCACACAAGTGAGGGAACAGGGGGATGGAAGTGGACACAGAGGTAGCAAAAAAGTTAAAGTAAGAGGCTAAAGGTCAAATTGATGAGTCAAAGGAAAGGAGCCATGATGCCAATGGAAATAGCAGAAACAAAAGTTGCAGGTGAAGGTCAGATTTCAAATACGGAGTATCAGGCAAGCAAGAATGGAGGCCAGGGCAAGAATGGAATATTTGGAGGAGCCCAAGGGTTCGGGAAATCTGAACCAATCCATGAATTCAAATAACAACTGAATAACAGGTTGTTTTTGCAATCGGGGGATACTCAATTGCAAGATTTTTTTTTTAAACAGAAGATGGATACATGCTAGACACAACTGCTTTTCAGAGGAGAAGAAGGTTATAAGCAGAAACTCAGACACTCCCAAAACGAACTCCCTGCTACCTCGTGTACACTCTAGCTGGAGGCCTTCCCACATTCATTACCTTGCTATAGTTTCACCTCTACTGTGGATTCCTTGGTATTCAGTAAGATATTTATTCCACCTAAAGCCTTCTCCACATTCACTGGTATTTTTTCAAGTCTGAATTCTCTGACGCTGAATAAGGACTGAACTCATGAAGTCTTTCCCTCTTTCATTACAGTTCTATGATAGCTCACCTGTATGAATTTTCTGATGTTTAGTAAGTGAAGATGTGTCACCAAAGACCTTCCCACATTCATCACACTCATAAGCTTTCTCTCCACTGTGAATTTTTTGATGTTGAGTAAGGGAGGAAATACGACTGAAGGATCTTCCACATTCTTTACATCTGTAGGGTTTTTGTCCAGTATGAACTATCTGATGTCGAGTAAGGCATATGCTCTGGTTGAAAGTTTTCCCACATTCATTACATTCATAAGGTTTTTCTCCAGTATGAATTCTCTGATGTTTAGTAAGCTGTCCACTTTGCCTGAAGGTTTTCCCACATGCGCTGCATTCATAAGGTCTCTCTCCAGTATGAATTCTTTGATGTTCAGTAAGGTGTGTACCCCATCTGAAAGTTTTCCCACATTCGTTGCATTCATATGGCTTCTCTCCAGTATGAATTCTCTGATGTTGACCAAGATCTCTACTTTGTCTGAAGGATTTTCCACATTCAGGACATTCATATGGTTTTTCTCCACTATGAATTCTCTGATGTTCATTAAAGTAGTTACTCCACCTGAAGGCTTTTCCACATTCATGGCACTCATAAGGTTTCTCTCCAGTGTGAACTCTATGATGTTGAATAAGTTTTGAACGCCGGCTAAAGACTTTCTCACATTCATTACACTTATAAGGTTTTTCTCCAGTATGAATTCTTTGATGTTTAGTAAGTGATGAGCTGTCACTGAAAGCTTTTCCACATTCGTTACATTCGTAGGGTCTTTCACCAGTATGAACTCTATGATGCTGAGTAAGGGAGGAAACCCGACTGAAAGATTTTTTGCATACTTTACATTCATATGGTTTCTCTCCAGTATGAATTCTCTGATGTCGGGTAAGGCATGCACTCTGGCTGAAGGCTTTCCCACATTCATCACATTTATATGGTTTCTCTCCAGAATGAATTCTCTGATGTTGAGTATATTGTGCATATTGGACAAAAGTTTTCTCACATTCATTACACTCATACAGTTTCTTACTTGAAGAACTTTTTTTACTTTTGACCCGTTCTGAAGAAGGCTTGGAGCTCTTTCCACTTCTATCTCTATTATGGGATTCTTCAGGAATAGTCGGTTCCGTAACAGGGACTGGAGTCAGACAAAATTTTATTCCATACTCTTTACAATGAGGATCTTTCTTGTGGGTAATAATCATCTGACCTAAGTATTTTACTTGAGGTCTCCTTTCTAACTGACCACCACATTCCTCGGCTTCCCCTAACTTGGCCTTTGGGACTGTTTCAACTACAGTTTGGGAAGAGTCTTCTTCAGAAAGGTTTGGCTGCAGAGTTGACACCTTGGCTTCAGGCCTAATCTTGAAGTCTAAAAGAAATAAAAACTGTCAAATGTGTGCTATTCCCTTATAAGGGAGCAAAGGAAAGTTTTGTGATGGAAATGGATGAATGAAACTTAAAAAACAAGTGCAGGGCACAGTTGTCTTTTCGTTGAAAGAACAGGAAAGGGGGAGAAAGAACATGATCACCAACAACTTGGGCGGCCTTGAACAAGTGACCTAGTTCCTGTGGGCTAGTTTTGTTCACACATGTAACAACATTCCTGAGGAGGGAAGGGCTTGGACCACAAGCTCTAAATCCTATGATCTCTTGATAAGGGACAATGGGACACGAGTGACTATAAGGGTGTAGGGTGTAACATAAACAGAAAATGAGGCTACTCTCTCAAAGGGCAGTAGAAGGAAAGGGGTGGCCAGAGAAACAGACTAAGTGTGGGTGGAGGTGGAAAGCAAATAGGAGGATGAGTCATGAGTGAAAGAGGCCCTGGAGACTGGGGCAAAGCCCCCATTGCCTCATGCCAGGACCACTGTATAAGGCTTTTCACTAGTAACCTTGCCTCTTCTCCATGGAATGTTTACTGCCAAGGCCACTAATGTGGTGGCAGCTCTCTCACCACAATCCTAACCTAATCAGAGTTATCTCCAGCCATAGCAGCCCTATTCCTATCTAGTGGGAATTCCTTCCTGGCCCACCGGCTGTTCTTCATACACGCCCTATCTCTTGTCTCCAAGTCTTGGCACTGGCTGTGTCCCATACTTGGAATGTTCCTCCTCCTCATTTGTGCCTCTTGGAATTCCTGGTTTAATTCAAACTCAGATCAGGCACCACCTTCTGCATAAGACACTTCCTGGGCTTTCACCAACAAATGCCATCCTTTCCAAGGTAATCTCCTATCTGCTTGTGTGTATGTATATACATAGTATGTATATGGGGGTGTATATATATTGAGAATACCCCTCTACATAGACATTCATCTCTCCCATTAGAATATGGGCAGGTAGAGTTTTACTTTTGTCTTTATCTCTCCAGGGCTGGCATGACCAAGACATAAGGGATATTTTCAACCTTCGCTGAGGCGAATGGCAGTAGAGAAAGCACAGAGGACTAAGGTGGCCTGCTCCAGGAATGGGCTATCCACCGGTGCCCCACCTCCTCCCAACAATCCTTCAGCTGCCACACCCCCCAGGAAATGGTCCCATGCCCCCCAGCTGTCAGTCCTCTCTCACTCCTCCAATTATCTTGTATTTGCTTGTCTCTGTTAGTGACGTCTCCCCAGTAGAGTGGAAACTCCTAGAAGGCAGAAACTACTTTTCTTTTTTGTCTTTGTAGGCCTCATACCCAACACAGAGCTGGCACGCTGCAGGTACCTAAAAGTGTTAGGAAGCTCTGGACAAAGAAAGAATGAAGACACCAGAGAGGGCAGAAGCCATCATAAGATGAAGGTCTTGGAAGATGTTGGAAGGAATGGGATCCAGAATAACAGGGAAAAATGTTCTTTAGGAAGAAGGAGGGCCCCCTTTTACTGTGAGTTCAGAGCAAAGACAACAGAGGAAAAAGGTTAAAAAAAATTCAAATGTGAAGGAAAGTGATTTTCCAATATTTGATGGATGGTTACATACTTACCAGAGGAAAACCCAAGAAGCAATGGAGGAAAAGTCAGATGAAGCAGCTTTGCAATCACAAATTTTACCTTTCTAAAATTAGCACAGATTATCTCACAAAGCAATAAGGTCCTGATCAGTGAAAGCGTTCAAGCACAGGTCAAATGTTCATAACAATAGGAAAGCTGGAGAAATGATGGAGTTGAAGTCAAGTGAAGGGAGGGAGCTCCTGCCAAACACCCTGGAGCTTCTCCAAAGGCTGAGGAGGCTCTGAAGAAAGACAGAGAGATTCCACCCTTTCCTGCCAACCATGACTCCCACTGAACTAGGTCACTCACTTACCTGGGCAGCTGCCTCTTAGGATTTCTGCCTCCACCATCCAGGGTTCTTTCCCTTGCTCCAACTGGGAGATCACATCTGGTTTGAAAACTTGGCAACCTGCTCGTGGGGAAAGAAAAAGGTCCAGTATGTTTATTCTGGTCGCAATAAGCTGTCCCAGGATTCAGTCCTAGCCCCTGGGTCCTCAGGACCTCTGATGGATGAGAAAGATATACCAGCTGGGGCAGCAAATTAAACAGCTCACATACAATTTGATATCGATCATATTTTATCTGGAAGGAGTGTAGGCACCCATGTTCTATGGCCCAAAAGGATCAGCAGTTGCTAAGAGAAAGCATGGTACAATGAAAAGAATATTGGGCTCAGAGCCAGGGGGCCTCTGGTCAAGTCCCAGCTCCACCATGCCTTAGCTGTGGAGGTCAATGGCCAATTATCTAAACAAACAACAAACAAATCAGGAAACATGGGCTCCTTGTGGTACCAGCCTCCCAGGGAAGCCCTGTGTGACTTACAGGATGCCTTAAAACTGTGAGCCCCTCTTTCAGATTCCTCAATCCCAAAGCCCAGATTTACCTCAACCCTTCAGCGAGCTCATGCCTCTTCACAATTTGAGAAAACAGACATAACCACAGGAGGATTCTGAGTATCAAGGGAAGCTGCTCTTACCCAATGAGACCAGGTTTCGGTAGTTCTCCAGCATCACGTCCCTGTACAGGGCCCTCTGGGTGGGGTCCAGGTGCCCCCACTCCTCCTGGGTAAAGTCCACAGCCACATCCTTGAATGTCACTGACACCTGAAATGCCAAACACATTCCTGTTCTGGGCCAAGCCCTCAACATGGCACAGGAGATGATTATGAATGTTCCAATAATGCTCCAAGGTCCTGGAGTTACTGCACGTCTGAGAGGGACCAAGGTACATGGGCCGTGCCCTGGAGGAACGCCTATGCCTTGAAAGGAAACTTTTATCCATGAAATAAATGAGAAAATGTAAGACAGTGGCTAGCCTAGCGCTAAAGTAAAAGGCACAGAATACCTTGAAAGAAGGGACACAGTCCTGAGGGCAGAATTCATAGGAAAATATGGATGCTCAGAATTGGAAGAGGCCTTAGATGGCACCGATTCCAAACTTGCACTCAACGTGGGAACCCCCTACTACTCCATCCCCTAGGACAGGGATAAGGCGTCGACTGCTTCCTTGGGGAATCCACTTTTGGATCCCCCTAATTGTTTTTGTATCTCCAGCATCACATACAGTAAGCACTTAATCAATGTTTACTGACTGACTTTAAACTTAGGTGCAATCTGCTTCCTGGGAATTCTACACTTGATTTTATTCTACCCTGTGAAGCCAGAAATCAAGTAAGCCACGAGCACGTAGTAAGCACTTACCAGATGCAGGTAGTGGTAGGTGCTGGGGGTACAAAGATAAAAAAGGAAACCCCATTTTCAAGTAACTTCCATTATATTGGGGAAGAAACATTGCTTACATATTTAAGTATATACAGCATAAATACACAATAAATGCAAAGCTATTAAATACAAGGTAGTTTGGGAGTGGGGCCTGCATTGGGGGGTGGGGGGCAGAATCAGAAAAGTCATCACGTTCAAGGCGGTCTCTGAGCTAAGTCTTGAAGGAACAGAGGGTGTCTATGAGGCAAGGGTGAGGAAGTTGTACATGCCACGAATGGGAAGATGCCATGGAAAATGCGACAACCTCGTGTGAGGGACAGCAAAAAGGTCTGTATGACAAAACCATAAAGTGTGGGAAGATGAGGAAGAAACAGTTCTAAGTTATGAGCTTAAAGCGCACTAGGACTTCTGGGACTTCAGAGGCTGGTAAGATAAATTGGGAGAAGGCCGTAAAAGGTTTAAAGAACAGAACAGGAGTTTTGATAGATTGGGGAAGACTGAGGCTGGCTGAAGGGAGACTAATCAGCAGGCCACAGTTCAGGCAAGATGCAAGGAGGGGCCGAAGTAAGGTGGTGGCCTCTTGAGAAGAGGCTGGGTTGGAGAGTTGTTACAGAGATCAAAGCGACAAACATCTGGCAGAGGAGTGGATGTGTGGGGTGGGGGCTGGGGAGCTCATCATAAATGTGGGAGAATGGAGGACAGGCAGTGTCTCTGGTCCGCCGGCGGGAAAGTTCAGAAAATTTGAGTTTGGGGGGGAAAGAGAATGAGTTTTGTTCACAACCTGAGTGTGAGGTGCCCACCAGACTGTCAATGTTGCAGGACTGGAGTTCAAATAGAAACAGGCTGGATCCAGGGCTCCACCCCCTGCTTTCCTAATCATGGGGCGTTTTAATTCACTGGTTACTCTATAGATTCAGAATATATAGTATGTATATATGTGTGTGTTTGTGTGTTTATACATATACATACATACATACCTATATATATATATATATATATATTTAGAGAGACAGAACACATAGACATCTACATTCTACATACGCTGTACACTCTAACCCTTATAATTCATAAACCATAGGGTTAGAGCTAGAAGAGATCTCAGAGATCAATCACCTATTACAGAAGAGGAAACTGAAGCCTAGAGAGGGGAAAGTGACTTGCCTAGGGCCATACATCTTATAAATGTCTGAAGGGGGATTTGAATCCAGTTCCACTAGCCAGGTGGCTAGTAGGCAGTAGACAGGGCACAAACCTGGAGTCAGGAAGATTCAAGGGTTCAGATCTGACCTCAGACACAGACTAGCTAAGCAACCTTGGGTAAGTCACTTAACCTCAGTTTGCCTCAGTTTCTTCAAATGCAAAATGCATGAGATAATATTTGTAAAGCACTTAAACACAGTGTTCTCTGCATAATATCCTCCCTTCTCCTCTCCTGATTCCAAGTCCAGTGCCCTATTTCCTAGGCCATGCTTACTCCAATGAACTCCAGCTGAACTTCATTTGTTGCCTGGGTCAGCAAAGGAAAATCAAGCATGAACATGCTGAGCAGGGCATTCCTGTGCCATCCGGACACACGGGAAAGAATTGAGGGTGCTGCTCCTCAAGGGGGTGGTCAAGCTTCCACCAGCTTCCCCTGCTATGGAGGAAATGGCTGGTCCCACTTCCCCCCACATTTGACAAAATCTTTTATAATATTCTTATGGAAGAGACAGAGGGGTGGCCAAGATGACAGTGGAGTCAGGTGACTTCAGAACAGGATGAATTACAACAAGAGCAGAATGCTCATTAAGGGATCAATGCCAACCTGGAATTAAGCCCCCAAGGGCAGAGTCTGCCCTAGGCCAGGTTCTCTTCAACATCTCTTGTCAAAGACTTGGATAAACCCAGATGACACCTACTATACAAAATGAGTCTCAAAAACAGATACAGAAAAGAAACCCTACTGAACTCCTTTAATGAAACAAATATGATCCTGACACCCAAACAAAGGAAGAAAAATCATACACTAATCTTACTAATGATGATCAATATAAAATTTTTAAGTAAGATCCTCACAAGGAAACTACAGAAATATATCATGACAATAATTCACAACATGACCAAACTGGATGCACACCAGAGATAAAAGGTTTGTTTAATATTAGGGAAAATTAGCATAATTAATCATATGAACAACAAAGATAACAAAACCACCTGATTTTAATCAATAAACACCGAAAAGGTTTTTGAGAAAACACAGCACTCATTAATGTGGAAAAGCCCGGCAAAGCACAGAAATGGAAGGGCCTTTCCTTATTATTATTAAAATCATGTATTTAAAACTAAGACCTAAAGCTCTTTTCAAGGCAAAGTAAGCATAGCCCAATAGCCCCTCTTTCAAATACCACTTGATATAATTCTCAAAATGCTGACTATACAAATAAGAAAAGAGGATAAAATCAAAGGTATAAATATCAACAGAAGAATTCCAAGCTAGAAGCATTTCCAATAAGATGGGGGGTGAAACAAGGATGTTCATTATCACCACTGTTGTTCAATATTGTACTGGAAATGTTAGCTTTAGCAATAAGACAAGAAAAAGAAATTGAAGGTATTAGAATAGGCAAAGAAGAAACAAAGCTATCACTCTTTGCAGATGACATGATGATATACTTAAAGAATCCTAGAGAATCAAGTAAAAACTACTTGAAATAATAAACAACTTTAGCAAAGTTGCAGGCTATAAAATAAATCCACATAAATCACTGGCATTTCTATATATTACCAACAAAGCCTAAGAGCAACAAATAGAAAGAGAAATTCCATTTAAACTTATAAATGTAGACATTATAAAATATTTAGGAGTCTACCTCCCCAAACAAACCCAGAAACTCTATGAACACAATTACAAAACACTTCTCACACAAATAAAGTCAGATCTAAATAACTGGAAAAACATCAGTTGCTCATGGGTAGGCCGAGCTAATTTACCTAAGCTAATTTTCTTATTCAGTGCCATACCAATCAAACTACCAAAAATTATTTTATAGAGTTAGAAAAAATAATAACAAGATTCATTTGGAAGAATAAAAGGTCCAGAATATCAAGGGAACTAATGAAAAGAAATGCAGGGGAAGGTGGCCTAGCTATTCCAGATCTTAAATTGTATTATAAAGCAGCAATCATCAAAACTGCTTGGTACTGGCTAAGAAATAGAGTGGTCGATCAGAGGAATAGGTTAAATATGCAAGACACAGTAGTCAATGACTATAGTAATCTATTATTTGATAAACCCGAAGACCCCAGCTTCTGGGATAAGAACCCACTCTTTGAAAAAATAACTGCTGGGAAAACTAGAAAAGAGTATGACAGAAACTAGGCATGGACCAAAATCTCACACCATATACCAAAATAAAGTCAAAATGGGTTCATGATTTAGATATAAAGGCTGATATATAAGCAAACTGGGAGAGCAAGGAATAGTTTACCTATCAGATCTATGGAGAACAGAAGAATTCATGACCAAACAGGAGGTAGAGAACATTATGAAAAGCAAAATGGATAATTTTGATTACATTAAATTGAAAAGTTTTTGCACAAACAAAGCCAATGCAACTAAGATTAGAAGGAAGGTAGGAAATTGGGAAAGAATTTTTACAACCAGTCTTTCTGATAAGGGCCTCATTTCTAAAATATATAGAGAATTAAGTCAAATTTATAAGAATACAAGCCATTCCCCAATTGATAAATGGTCAAAGGATATGAACAGACAGTTCTCAGATAAAGAAATTAAAGCCATTTATAGTCATATGAAAAAATGCTCTAAATCACTATTGATTAGAGAAATGCAAATCAAAACAACTCTGAGGTACCACATCACACCTATCAGATTGGCCAACATGACAAAACAGGAAAATGATAAATGTTTGAGAAGATATGGGAAAATTGGAACACTAATGCATTGTTGGTGGAGTTGTGAAATGATCCAACCATTTTGGAGAGCAATTTGGAACTATGCCTAAAGGGCTATCAAAATGTGCATACCCTTTGACCCAGCAATAGCACTTCTAGGGCCATATTCCAAAGAGAACATACAAATAAGAAAAGGACCCACATGTACAAAAATATTCATAGCAGCTCTTTCTGTGGTGGCAAGGAACTGAAAATTGAGAGGATGCCCATCAAATGGGGAATGGCTGAGCAAGTTGTGGTATATGAATGTGATGGAATACTATTGTTCTATAAAAAATGATGAACAGGTTGACTTCAGAAAAACCTGGAAAGACTTGTATGGTCTGATGCTGAGTGAAGTGAGCAGAACCAAGAGAACATTATACACAATAACAGCCACGTTGTGTGATGACTAATATTGATAAACTTAACCCTTCCTGGCAATATAAGGATCTAAGACATCTCCAGAGGCCTTTTGATGGAAAATGCTATCCACATCCAAAGAAAGAACTATGGAAGTTGAATTGCTATTTTTTTTCTCTTCTGTTGAGTTTTGTTTCCTCTTTCTGGTGGTTCTTCCTATTGGTTCTAATTCTTACTTACAACATCACTAATGTGAAAATATGTTTAATAGGAATGTATATGTATAGCCCATATCAGATTGTGCACCGTCTTGAGGAAGGTGGTGGGGAGGAAGAAAATTTAAAAAAATTTTAAAATCAAAAGCATATGGAAGTGATTATTGATAAATCAAAATAAGTTAATTAAAAAAATATGTTATTATTTGAAAATGAGATAAAAATCAGTGGAACAGACTAGATAAGCCAGCAGCAAAAGCAACTGAAAACCTAATTACTAGGGGAAGAATTCCTTTCTTGACATCTGACCATCAGGCGCCTGAACAGAACTTTGTTAGGGAGAGAAATTCCAGAATGTAAGAAGGAAATATTTGCAGCCCCTGAGACTCAACTCACCTGTGAGCTGACAGTCAGGATCCCAGAAGACATTCCCTCTTCCTTTGTGTTAACCTCCAAGGGAAGGGCAATATCCTCAAAGGAAGACCTGTGCAGGAGAAGGCAACCGTGAGGAAGACCATCCATCCTAGCCTGCAGTTGTCTGAACTGCCTGCCCAGAAAATCCCTACTGCAGAGTGAAGAGGTTAAACTGGTTACAAACAGAACAGAGGCTGGTTCAGGCTCCTATGACGGAAAATAAAGCTCATGGTATTTACACAATCCCTCAAAAAGTTTTCTCTGAAGAACGCACTTGTGTGGCGGACAGGGCACTGGCCCTGAAGGCAAGGAGCCCTGGTTCAAACAGACCTGTGTCACCATTGACTTCTCCATGTGTTCTTTGCTGGGGCTGAAACACAGGATACACCAGATGCTCCAAGGGGGAAGATATCCACAAGGAAATGGAGAATCAGCAAATGGAAATCATTTAACCTGTCTGAGCCTCAGTGTCTACTCCTGGCACCTACAAAGTGCTTACTAACACTTTATCTAACTGTAACAGTATAACAAACGTATACAATACCTCTTAGTTTAAATACACCCTCATTCCACCCCCATGGCTATATTTTCTTTTTTTTTAATTTTTTTTCACAGAAGTCGCTTCTTTTTTTAGTAATTAATTTTTAACATTCAGTGTTTTAAATTTTGGGTTCCAAATTCTCTCCCCTCCTCCAGTTTCTCCCTTGCCCACTGAGAAGGCAAGCAGTATGATACCCATTCTATATGTGAAACCATACAAAGCATATTTCCATGTGAGCATGGCTAATTTTTCAGGCTCTCTTCCAAAAAATTGGTTAGTGAGAATGTTTGTTAAATAAATCTAAATTTCTTTCAAAGCCCACAGTTTCAGTACTGCTAAAGTTTAGAGAACAATGCCTGAATCCTCCTTCCCTCACAAAAATGGTGGGAATACAAATGATATGATAAATCTCAGGTCATCTCAAGAATCTGGACTCTGCTACTTCCGACCTATGAGACCCTGGGCAAGTCACCTCCCCTTTCTGGGCCCTAATTTCTTTTTTTTTAAGTTAAGAATGTGTGTTTAATAAACACTTATGATATTCCAAGCACTGCGCTAAGGGCTGGGGATACAAAATAAAGAAATAAAGAAAGCTTTAGCAGCCATCTCCCTCCATCTGTGCGATCCCTTTCTCCCACTGGTGAATTCAACTTTGAACTACCATTTTAAAAAAAATTAATTTGTTTTGATTTATCAACAATCACTTCCATAAGCTTTTGAGTTTTAAATTTTTCTACCCCTCCCTTCCCACCTCCCTTCTAAGATGGCATGCAATCTGATATAAGTTATACATATACATTCCTATTAAACTTATTTTCACATTAGTCATGTTGTAAGAAAGAATTAGAATCAATAGAAGGAACCATAAGAAAGAGGAAACAAAACAAAAAAAAGAGCAAATAGTCTGCTTCAGTCTGCATTCAAACTCCATAGTTCTTTCTTTGGATGTGGATAGCATTTTCCAACATGAGACTTTTGGAGATGTTTTAGATCCTTGCACTGCTGAGAAGGGCAAAGTCTATCAAAGTTAGTCAGCTGCATAACGTGGCTGTTACTGTGCACAACATTCTCCTGGTTCTGCTCACTTCACTCAGCATCAGTCCATACAAGTCTTTCCAGGTTTTTCTGAAGTCTGCCTGCTCATCATTTCTGATAGCACAATAGTATTTCATCACATTCACATACCACAACTTGCTCAGTCATTCCCCAACTGATGGGCATCCCTTAAATTTCTAATTCTTTGCCACCATAAAAAAAGCTGCTATAAATATTTTTATAAATGTGGGTCCTTTTCCTATTTTTATGATTTCTTTGGGATAAAGCCCTAGAAGTGCTATTGCTGGGACAAAGGGTATGCACATTTTTATAGCCCTTTTGGCATAGTTCCAAATTGCTCTCCAAAATGGTTGGATCATTTCACAACTCCACCAACAATGCATTAGAGTTCCAATTTTCCCACATCTACTCCAATGGGCCCCAATTTCTTCATCCGAAAAAAAATGAGAGGGTTGGCTTATGGATCCTTCTAGCTCTAATTATACAATTACAGGCCACCTCCTCACTAAATTCCTCCCTGCTCCCCTGAGCTAAAAGGGTTTCACCCTCCTCAAGTTTTCCTAGATAATTTTGACAGTTTCTCTCTCTTTCTCTTCCCCTCAGGCCCTACCCCTCTCCTTCTCGCATAATAACCATCTGTGAACCTATCATGTCTCCAGTACTGTAGACTGTATGCTCAGTGAGGGTAACTACCCACCAAGGTGGTCATTCCTTCAAGTTTGCCATCGCCCACAAATGCTCTACTCCCACGTTCACAAACTCTGAAATTCCCTTACTGATCACAATCATGTCATCTCACCTCTCCTTCTGCCTTGCATCTCCTAACCCTCTTCTCCCCAAGACTTCCAAAGTTCTTTCCTCAGTTATTTCCCAGGCTATCACCCCTGTACTAACTATCCTCTCTTCTCTTGAGCCTTTGCTGAACTAATCCATTTCGACGCTATCCTCTTCTCTCAAGTGCCTTGTCCCTATATCCTAATGGAGACGGGACAAACCTCAGACTCTGCCCAACCCCAATCTTGGATTAGTTCCACTATCCACTGCCTTTGCTTCTAGCCGTGTGCTGCTGAATGAAGTTGGGGAAAATCATGAAATTGTGCTGACTGGGCCCATTACAAATGTATGTTACATAATCTCAGTTGAGCCCTCACCAATCCCTTTACACCTCCCTAAGTGACTCACTGTCCACCTCAGCTGCTCTTCCAAACCTTCTCATCCCTCCACAGTCCTCCTTCCATCCTCTCAGCTAAGAATCTTGCTTCATATTTCACTGAAAAACTGAGGACAATCACCCAGAGCTCTCTCTCCTCCCCATTTCACACCACTCAGATGCCTTCTACCTCCTCTCCTCCTCTCATGTGTAGACAGGGTCCTTCCCTTGCCAAAACCAACCTCTTTCTGTACACAAGGGATCCCACTGCATCTTGTCTTCTCCAACACACTGTCCCTCTATCTTCACCACTCTCTCACTTACGTCTCTCCCTGTCTGCTGGCTGCCTCCTCCATTCTCAAAAAACCCTCACTGGATCCATCTGTCCCAACCCACTATAGTCCTCTCCCTCTCCTCCCTTTTGTGACTCACCTCTCTGAGCAGGCCATCTGCCATACTTGCCTCCACTTCCCTTCCTTTCACTTTCTCTTTTAACCCTCTCCAGCCTGCTTCAGTTCTCATTATTCAACCCAAACTTCTCTTTCCTAGTTGACAAATCCAATGGCCTTTTCTCAAACCTCATCCCCCTGATCACCCTTTCCTCCTTGATACTCTCTTCTCTCTAAGTTTCCTAAATACCACTCTCTCCTGGTTCTCATCCTATCTATCCAATCGCTTCTACTCCATCTGCTTTGCTGGATCTTCATCCAGTTCTGTGGGAGTCCCCAGGGATCCGTCCTGGACCCTCTTCTCTCCTTCTATACTGTTTCACTTGGTGATCTCAGCTGATCCCAAGGCTTTAAGTATCATCTACTTATCCAGCCCTAAGCCCTCTGCTGACCTCTAGTATAGCATCATGAACTCAATGTCCCACAGACATCTAAGATGCAACATGCCCCAAACTGAACTCATTATCTTTCAGAGGCAGCTGCTGGTGCAGTGGATAGAGGAATCAGAAAGAACTAAGTCAAATCTGGCCTCAGACACTTACTAGCTGTGTGACCCTGGGCAAGTCACTTAACTTGTCTGCCTCAGTTCCTGCAACTGTAAAATGGGGATAATAATAGCAACTAACTCATATAGTGGTTGTGAGGCTCAAAAGAGGTATTTATAAAGTGCTTAGTACAGCGCCTGGCCCATAGTAGGCCCTTAATAAATGCCTGTTCCCTTTCCTTTCTGTTCCCCTAAACCCTCCCTTCTTTGTAACTACCCTATTACTGTTGAAGGTACCGCCATCCTCCCAGGGGCTCCTTGGTGTCATCTTAGACTCTTCATTATCTCCCCCCCGCTCCATGTCTAAGCTGTTGCCAAGGCCTGTCCATTTCACCTCTGCAGAAACTCTTGTCTATTTTACCTCTGCACCATCTCTCCAAAAAGCCATATGCACTGCTTCCACCCTGCTGCAGGCCCTTAGCATGTCATGTCTGGACCATTCCAGTAGCCTTTGGGTGGATCGGCCTGCCTCAGGCCTCTCTCCACTCTAGTCCATCCGACCATGTCAAACCCCACCTCACCCTTCAATTAATTCCAGGGGCTCCCTAACACCTCCGAGATCAAATCAAATATAAAATCCTGTTTTTCGTTTTTAAAGTCCCTCATGACCTGGCTCCTTCTTAGATTTTTACTCCCTTCCACATAGTCTACACCTCAATGGCACTGGCCTCCTTGTTCCTTGAAGGCAGAGACTGTCTTTTGCCTCCTTACATATCCCCAGTGCTCAGCACAGCGCCAGGCACATAGTAAGCACTTAATAAATATTGATTGATTGATTTGCTCAAATACAGACAAACATGATAATGGGGACTCCCCACCCTCTACACAAGCACATAGGCATAAATAAATATAGGCCATCTCCTTGACACGGAGATGACTATTTCTTCCATAACATATAGACAAAACATGTACCTGAGTTCTGACACACACACACTATAGCTAACATTCAGATAACACATTTAAGATTCCCAAAGTGCTTTACGTGTATCATCTTGTTTGATTACAGCAATATTATTCTTTTGAGCATCCTCCAGGCTCTTCTCAGATACAAATCACAGCCTCAAGATGGGGCTTTTCTCTCACAGAAACAAGCATGAAGAGGGCTCTTCCCCAGCCAGTTCTTCTCAGAGGCATTCTCTGACTCACATGCACATGCCTTTCACACACACACACACACACTTTTCCCCTCCCTTTCCTTTTTCTCTCTTCTTTCCTCTCTTCCTCCCCCCACTGCCCTCCTCTCTCTCCTCCCCCTACTTCCCTCCTCTCTCTCCTCCCCTCCCCCCGTCTCAAAATACTGCTTTTAAATAAGTGAAGGAAATGATACATTTCAGTTAGAAGTTAATATAAATAAACACGTAATTTTTCCCCCATCCAAGTTCACAGAAACCATGAAATGAACCCTTGATCTAGGTGAATTCCTTTATTTTACAGATGAGGAAACTGAGGCTCAGGGAGGTGAAGTGATGTGGGATCACACGTTAAAGTTCTCAACCCGGGGTCCTGAACTTGGTTGTTTTTTTTTTTTTTATATCTGGATAATCATTTCAGCATAATTGGATTCCTTTGTAATTTTAAATTATGCATTTAAAAACACAATCCTAAGAAGAGTCCGTCCACAGGCTGCACCAGGCGCTCCGGGGGTCCAGAACAAAAACAGCGGTTAAACCCCACTCCCCATTCGGGGGCTGGAAGGGGCCTCGCGGGCCATCCTGGCCAACTCCCTCATTTACAGAAGAGGAAACTGAGGCCCAGGGAGGCGAAGGAGGTAGCCGCAGGTGACACCCGCGCACGAAGGTGGGCCTCTTCCTCGCTCCCAGACATTCCAAAGGGAGACGGGGCAGGTTTTACCTTCTCCTCCCCTTCACCCCTTCCCGCCACTCCACGCGCCTGCGCAGACAGAGCTCCGTCCTGCGCCAACCCTCCAGAGCCCTCATACATGCCCCTCCTGCGGGCAGATCACCGTGCGCCTGCGCAGACGGAGGTCCGCAGCAGCCAAACCCGAGGCGTCCTCGTACAACCCCCAACCCCTCCCTGCGGCTGCGCAGAGAGATGCAGCGCCCGCCCCGAGCGAGGCTCCCACGAACCATAACACGAGCCAGCCGGCGGACTCCGCCTCCGGCCCGCCCTCCCACCATCATCACTGTCAGCCTCCACGCAAAAAAACAAACAAACCAACCAACCAACCAACCAACCCTCCTCTGATACCGCAGCAGCCGCCGCCCGGGCCGAACGCTACCTGCTGCCTCCGTTCCACCGAGCCACGGAGTCTGTCTGGAGCGAGGTGGCCAGCCGCGGTCTAGGCTAGAGATGGCGGCGCGCCTGCGCGGGTATCCCACCCAGAGAAGCCCCCTCCTATGGGGACTGCAGGGCGCCTTGGAGCCCGAGAACTACAACTCCCAGAAGCCTTCGGACCTGCGCGATACCGCTTTACCGCCGGCGGCCCTGGAAGCCCAGGCCGGGGAGGGAGGGGGCGGGAACGCTGCCGGAAGCACCTGCGCGAAGCTGGCTAAGGGGGCGGGGCCTTGTGCACCTGAGTCTGGGACTCCACTCCTGCTTGAAGTCACTTCTCTGCCTGCCTCATCTGTAAAATGGGGACAATACTAAGCAAGATTGTTGTTTGGATCCAATGAGATATTGCAAAGCGCTTCGCAAACCGTTACTATGACATTTAGAAAGCACTCAGCGCAGTGCCTGGCGCATTGTAAGCGCGTGCTAAATCTGTTTGCTCTTGGAGGCCACGGGGAGCCACGGGAGTTTCCTGAGTGGGAGCATGAGCTTTAGGAGGTCACCGCAGCAGGCTGGGAGAGAACCCGTGACCAGCACCAAGATGGCCCTTGGAGTAGTAGCAGGGAGGGAGCGGCAAGATCTGGAAAGAAACTGAGGACGTGGGTCAGCTGCTGGGAGACCAGAACCCTGGCACCCTGGGCAGAAGTGTGGGCATTTGGAAGAGTGAAAGGAGAAGCCGATGAGCTCAAAAGAAGGCACTGAATGCCGGGTAATCCTAGCCACTAACTTGGTACCGGCAAAGAGATGAAGAAATGTGCTTTCCACCCTTGGCTGTACATGTAGGGGGTTTATCTGCTGTGGTGTTGGTTAGCTTTGCCAAACTGCTCTACCCCATCTTAACCTCCTTTTTATTTTTAGTTGCCAGCATTGACTCTCAGGGTGAGTAGGCATACATTCCAAAATGGGGGTGATGATTAAAAAAAAATGATACCAATAGGTGGAGCCAAGATGGCAGAGTAGAGGAAACAACGAACCTCTCACAACCTTTCCCTCCAAACAACTTTAAAATAATGCCTCAAATTGAATTCTGAAGGGGCAGAGCCAACAAAAGGTCAGGGGGAGACATTCTTCCTGCCCAAGACAACTTGGGGAGAGAGAGAGAGATCTGGGGGCCAGCATGGAGCCCATGTGGATACAACACCAATGGAGAGATTAGATGGTGGTGACAGAAGGAGTAGCAGCTTTGGGAGCTCTCAAGCCAGAGATGGCAACTAGTCAGAAAGAGATTACAGAGTGTGCTAAAACTGGAGGCAGGACTGAAAGCTGTTTGGCGACTCCATTGCCTATAACCTCTTCTGGGTCATAGTTCAAGGGTGGGGAGGAGCATTTTTGATCACAAAGGATCAGGGACCCTGAGGAGCAGTATCAATTGTAATCCCAAGAGGTTGGCAGTTGTTTCATGGTTAAGGACCAGAGCACAGATCAAGAGAGCAGTGACCACACTTTTCCCTACATTGCACCACCTTTGAAGCACCTCAAACTTCCAAACCCCTAGAACTAGCTTTGACAACAGCAGTGAAAATAAGCCTGAAATTTGGGGGAGTCTCCCCTTGCCCCCTCACAGAACAGAGCTCAATTTTAACATAAATTCAGTGACAAAATAGGCTGGAAAAATGAACAGATAGCAACAACAAAAAGAACCTGACCCTAAAAAGCTACTGTGATTACAGGAGAGATCAAGACACAAACTCAGAAGAAGACAATGAAGTTAAAACAGCTACCAGCAAAGCCTCAGAGGAAAAAAAATGTAACTTGGACACATGCTCAACAAGAAATCCTGAAAAAGCTAAAACAAATTTATTTTCAAAATCAAATAAGAGTGGTAGAGGGAAAACAAAATGGGTAAGGAAGTGAGAGCAAGGGAAGAGAATTATGAAAAGACAAGAGCTTGGTAAAAGGAGACACAAAAAATCCTGATGAAAATGATTCCTTTAAAAAATGAAACTGACCAAATGGAAAAGGGGGTACAAAAGTTCACTGAAGAAAATAATTCCTTAAAAATTAGAATTCAGCCAGTGGAAGCTAATGACCCCATGAAACATCAAGAAACAATAAAACAAAGTCAAAAAAATGAAAAAATGTGAAATATCTCATCAGAAAAACCACTGACATGTGAAATAGATTGAGGAGAGCTAGTTTGAGAATTATTGAACTGTCTGAAATTCATAATCAAAAAAAGAGCCTGGACATATTTCAAGAAATTATAAAGGAGGGGCAGCTAGGTGGTATAGTGGTTACAGCACGGCCCTGAAGTCAGAAGGACCTGAGTTCAAATCTGGCCTCAGACCAAACACTTGACACTTACTAGCTGTGTGACCCTGGGCAAATCACTTAACCGCAATTGCCTAAAAAAAAAAATTGAAGAAATTATAAAGGAAAATTGCCCTGATACCCTAGAGCCAGAGGGTAAAATAGAAATTGAAAGAATCCACTGATCACCACCTGAAAAACATCCCAAAATAAAAATTCCCAGAAATATTATAACTAAATTCAAGAGCTCCCAGGTCAAAGACAAAATACTTCAAGCAGCTAGAAAGAAAATGTTCCAATACTGTGGGGCCACAGTCAGGATCACACCAGATTTAGTAGCTACCCCATTAAAGGAGCAGAGGGCTTAGAATATGATATTTCAGAAGCCAAAAAAGCTAACATTACTACCAAGAATAACCCACCCAGCAAAACTGAGCATAATCCTTCAAGGGAAAAAAATGGATATTTAATGAAATAGATGACTCATGCATTCCTAATGAAAAGACCAGAACTGAATAAAACATTTAATTTTCAAATACAAGACTCAATGTAAACATTAAAAGGTAAACATGAAAGAGAAATCATAAGGTTAAACTGTTTACATTTCTATATGGGAAGATGATACATGTAACTTCTAAGAACTGTCATTAGGGCAGTTGGAAGGATTCTCTATCAACAGAGGGTACAGGAATGAGTTGAATATAATTGTATATTATGTTGGGATGATGTGAAAAAAAAGTGGATAAGTGAGAAAGAGATACCCTGGGAGAAGGGGGAAGGGAGAAGAAGAATGGTGGAAATTATTTCACATAAAAGAGGCATGCAAGGAGGAGGGGAAAGGGGTGGGGAAGCAGCACTTGAACTTCTCATCTTAGTTGGTTCAAAGAGGGAAATACACACACACACACACACACACAAGATTTGGGCATAGAAATCTAACCTACCAAGGAGGTAGGAGGGAAAGGGGATAAGAGAATGGGGAAAAGGATGGGGGAGAGATGAAAGGGAGGGAGGAGAAAGAAAGGTGGTAGTTAGAAGCAAAAGAGACTTTAGAATAGGGAGAGAGAAGGATAAACAGAAGAAAATTGGGTGGAGGAAAATGTACAGTCATCATAATTGTGAACATGGGTGGGATATACTCACCTATAAAATGGAAGCTGGCAGCAAAATGGATTAAAAAACCAGATGCTAACAGTATGTTGTTTACAAGAAACACAGTTGAGACAGAAAGAGATACACACAGAGTTAAAATAAGAGGCTGAACAGAATCTCTTGTGCATCCACTGAAGTAAAAAAAAAAAAAGACAAGGGTAGCAATCATAATCTCAGACAAAACAAAAGGAAAAACAGACTTAAATAAAAAAGATAAGTAGGGAGGGCTAAAGGGCACCATGAGCAATGAAGTAATATCAACACTAAACATATATGCACTATATGTCATAATATACAAATTCTTAAAGGAAAAGTTAAATCAATTATGGAAGCAAATGGACAAACTATACTAGTGGAAGACCTCAACTATTCCCTCTCAGAGCTAGATAAATCTAACCACAAAATAAGAAAAAAATTAAGGAGATGAATAGAATCTTAGAAAAGTTAGATACGATAAAAGTTAGATAGATAGACCTCTGGAGAAAATTGAATGGGAATAGAAGGAGTATGCCTTTCTTTTAGCTGTACAATGCACCGTCACAAAAATTGACCATTATTAGGTCATAATTAGGCATTATTAGGTATTAGGGCATAAAAACCTCACAACTGAATGTAGAAAAGCAGAAATACTAAATGTCCCCTTTTCAGATCATAATGCAACAAAAATGACATTCAGTAAAGGTCCATGGAAGCATAGTTTAAAAATTAATTGAAAACTAATTTAACCCTAAAAAATGAGTGGATCGAAGAAAAATCATCAAAACCTTAAGTTTATTAAAGTGAATGACAACATATGAGACAATATACCAACATTTATGAGATGCAGACAAAGCAGTACTTTGGGTCTATATCCCAAAGAGACCCAATTATTATGGTAATTATTTTTATGTCATTAATTAATAATATCGTGGCAATTGTTTTATGTGATTAATTATTAATGTCACTATGGTAATTATTTGTGCATTATTAATATTATTGCTATGGTAATTGTTTTTATAAGTTACTGAAAGGGATGAACAAAGCCAACTCCATCTTGGACCATGTTGAATACAGGACTGACTTTGCTTTGAAACTGGATTCTTGACCACTACAACATTTGTGGCAAACACACTCTTACAAAAACACAAGGATGCTTATGACTGCAAACTGTTTTAGAATTAAACAGAGTGCATAATGTTCTAACACCCTTGATATTTTCCCATTTTGACTTAACAGACAGTGTCCCCTCCCTCCAAGCCTATTTTTAAAGTCTATAATTGTGCTATGTATGTGCAAGATCGATGCTAAGGGCAATCTGACTCTTTTTCCTCTTTTTTAGACAAATTAAATAAATCCCTTTTTGGTTTAAGTGACTGCTTTCTGTCTGTTTTTTGATATTACATATTGGGAAAAGGGTAATGTTTATTTTTTTTAATAAATATGTACCTGTTATTCTAGTTTAAGATTTGTGTTATAAAAGTGTAATGTTATTAATTTTATTTTAACAAAATACAATCTAAGAAACTTATTTGCTTATGTAGCAAAGGGTTGGGCTCCAGGGCTGCCATTCCTGATTACCCGGAAGCTTGGGGGCCCCCCACATGAAATCACAGGCCCAGATCCTATGCCCACCCTATGTGTAAGGCATGTTCTGGAGATACAAAATAAAAAAGAACATCATCCTCATGATAGCTAGCATGATATCCATGCTTTGAGGTTAGCTTTTTATTGTTATTTAATTTAATTCATTATTGTTAATATTTCACAAATATTATCACCTGTGAGACTCACAAAAACCCTAGTGGGAAGATGCTATTATTATTCCCACTTTACAGATGAGGAAACTGAGGCAGGCAATGGTTAAGCGCCTCACCCTGGGTCACATGGCTGGCGAGTGTCTAAGGCTGGTGTTGAACACAGTTCACAGAGTAAACTTGGAAAATTTGCTGGCCCAATGACTTTTATTTGACAGATGGTGAAACAGAGGCTCCGCCCCCTGACCTCAGCTCTAGCAAGTCCCGCCTCCCTCTTTGCCCAGGAGGTACTGCGGGGCGGGGCGGGCGAGGCGGAGGCAGTTGCTATGGAGACGCCCGTTAAGTGGAAAGGAGCGGCCTTAGGCCTGCGTGAAGCGGTGTTTTCTGGGAATTGTAGTCTTCGCGTGGTCTTAGCGCAGGCGCGCTGACCATCCAGCCTGGGCCATTTCCAGAGGCAGCAGCTGGGAGGAGACGGTTCTCAGGTGCACTTAGGCCAGGTATTCCCTGACCCTGACCCGCCCCCTCCCCCGCCCCCGCCCGGCTCGCGCCCCTCCCCGCCCCCTCCCCGGCACTCTGTAACGGCGCAGGGGACGAGCGGCCATGGCGGACAAGAAGCTGCCGCAGCCCCCACCGACCGCCCCTCCTCCCATCCTGCTCACCCCCAAGGCCCTCGCCCCCCCCCCGCTCCTCTGCATCCCCGAGGTCCCCCCTCGGCCGACCATCTTCAGCAACGAGCCCCCTTCGCGCCCGCTCGTCTTCTGCCCCCCGCCCCGGCCCCAGCACCCCGCCCTCACCAGCTGCGTGCCCCCGGCGCAGCCCACCTTCTTCCTCCGGGCCAAGCTCCCCGCGCAGCCCCGGGCCAGCCCCGGCTCCCCGGGGCCCCAGACCTGGCCTTCCGTCGTCCTGGCCGAAAGCCTGCCCCAGCCCCCTACCGTGATCTTGGGCGAGCCCCCGCCTCCGCCCCCCAGCACTGTGGCCCCCGACCCCCCTGCCAGGCCTCCCATGATGGTTGGCTCGGACCCCTCGGCCAAGCCGTCCGTCATCTTGGCGAAGGAGCCCCTTCCCCACATGCCCGCCATCGTGGGTGCCCTACGCCCTAAGCCCCCCTTTCGCCCCCCTACCCTCGGGGGCGGTGGCTCAGAGCCCCCTCCTCCCCCCGCCCCCGCAGGCTCGGAGGCCTCTCCAAGCCTACGCGCTGTCATCACCTCCGGGGTCCCCTCGAAGCCCCCTCGGAGCCCACGGGCCGTCACCCCCTCTGGGGGCCTCTCAGATCCCCCTCCTCGCCCACAGGCCATTGGGGGCCCCTTGGAGTCCCCTCCAAGCCTACGTGCCGTCATCACTTCTGGGGGCCCCTCAGAGCCCCCTCCTCGCCCACAGGCCATCAGCCCCCCTGGGGGCCCCTCAGAGTCCTCTCAGAGCCCACAGGTCATCACTCCCTCTGGGGGCCCCTCGCAGTCCCCTCCAAGCCTATGCTCAGTCATCGTATCTGGGGGACACCGGGAGCCCCCTCCTCGCCCACAGGCCATCAGCATTTCTGGGGACCACCCAGAGCCCCTTCCTCGCCTACGAGCCATCAGCATTTCTGGGGGCCGCTTGGAACCCCCTCCTCGCCCACCTGCCCTTGGCAGCTTAAGGAGTAGCTCCGAGCCCCCTTCTCCTGACAAAGCACCAACTTTGAAGTCCCTCCTCAAGCCCCCCAGCCAAGAGTCAAAGGCCATGGCTGCCATGGCAGCTCGGCCCTACTGGATCACTGTTCTGACCCCTCCTTGTCCCCTTGTCCCCAAGTCTGAGGCTGTTACTTACCCCACCGTTATCAAGGCTGAATCCCTTCCTCCTGCTCCTTACATCATCAAGTCCAAGACCCAATCTCACCCCCCTTTCCTCAAGGCTGATCCTCATCCTCCCAACCCCTCTACCGCCAGTTCAGAGCTCCTTCCTCAGCCCCCCATCCTCAGCAACGAGCCTTCAATTTCCATCCCCCCCATCATCAGGTTTGAGACCCCCATCCTCAAGCCTAGCTCTCCTCCTGGCCCCTCCATCATCAAGGCTAAGTCTTCTCCTCCTGACTCCTCCATCATAAGCTCTGAGTCTCCGGACTCCTCCATCATCAGCTCTGAGCCTCCTCCTGACCTGTCCATCATCAGCTCTGAGCCCCCT